CCATAGAAGGAAACAGGTAGGAGACTGACCAGGTAAGAAAAACTAACCACATCCTCTTTTGTGATCTGTTCACTCCCAACTAGAAAAATGACACCATTTCCTAAATGCATCTGAGCTAAGAGTTACAAGGTAGGGAGGAAGACAAGTGAAAATGATCAACTTACATTATTCAGAACTATTCTTCATTTTTGCTTCTACAATTCTGCAGTTACTACCCTTCCGCTGTTGTATAAGAAAAAGGATTTGTCTCCACAACTTCAAGCAAGATGGCAATTTAAAGATCAAGATCAGCAGTTAAAAGGGAAAACTGTAAACTTTAGATGCATCTCAGCACAGTGAAAACCAGAGGAAGTCAAAACAGGAAATTACAAGTCAGTGGAACAAACCCAAAGTCACAGGTACTGCATGACTGCACTTGCCAATTGGCTTGACAGGCAATGGCAAGAATCCATCAACAGTGCCAGACTTCTCATTCTTATCCCAACACTCTACTACACAACCAAAAACTTCATTTTTGCCCAGAAACCCCCGGACACTTCATCAAATAACATTAGTATAAAACATGCCATGTCATGAAGCGCCGCGCTATTCATGATGACTCAGCAGCAGCTGCAAAATGCAGAGGTGACGGTCCAGGCTAGCAGACAGCAAGCAAGTAGCCTTCAAATCCACAAAAGTTCCCATTAAGGCCCAAAGAAAGTCCTTATTTTGTTTTTAAAATCTGATGAGTATTCTCTTGTATACTGGATGTTTTTCTTTGGTAATGTCTGCCAATATTAAACCTACAAGCACCTGATCAAGAAATCTTGACACCTACAAGCACTGATCAAGAAATCCTCAAGTATCTTTAATAGCAATTCAAGCTGAAAATTTATTTTCTTTTTTTCAATTAAATGGCTGGACAATGAAGTATTGTACATAGGGGACAATAATATCAAGCTCTAAAACAGAACTACACAGTCTGAAATCATGTAAGCGCTAAGGTAATTTGGGTCATAGGTGTTATGTTGTTAAGACATCATCTCTCCAAATTTAGATTTCCATCTAAGTACAATTAAAAATAAGCTGTGCTTATAACTTTTGTCACCTGGAATGCATTAGCTCCCCTCTACACTCTATGCAGAGCATCCAATCATCCGTATTTAAGACATGAGCACTAACTTTTTTCAAGACCTAAGAAAGTACTCAAAGACATTTATTCAGGACAAACAGAAAGCATGTGTGTCTAACCTCCATTCTACAAAAGTACTAGGTTAGATGTCCAGGCTGTGACCTGAATTCTAATCTCAGGTCTGTCTTCACATACCCCTGTTCCCCACAAAGAAACCTGAAATTGCACTTTCTGTATATATCTGGCGGGAAACTGACGGGCGGAAATAGTAACACCAGCACTTCTTACCACTTCTAACCAAACTACACTATTTATTACCGAAACGCTGGCCTCAAACCTTTACCTTTAAAATTCTGGGTCTTTTAAATGATGAACTGAACACCACCTCCAAACATGTTAGAGTTCGACATTCCTCCTTCAGAATAAAGTTCACCCACGAAATCTACCTGGAACCACGCACACGCAACAAGTTATCGGACCTCTTGGATGTACCTTTTCCTTTTCAACAACTTTAAGATCCATCTGTCCCTTCCCACAAACTTAATATTCCAAAGTTTTGCTAAACTAAGTTTCAAAAGCATGTTCCTCCTTGAAGCCCCATGACGGAAAAGTAACACATTAAAAAACCGAAATTGCTGAGATCCAAACTCCTTTACCATGAGCATAAGCGCCTTCTCCTAACCTCCACCGCCCACGAGTGCGCCAGGCGGCGAAGGCGCAAGACCACCAAGAGGCTCCTGAGGTGTCAAAAGCACCTAACCTTCTAGAATACGCCCCATAATACGAAAATGTTTTGTGCATGAGATCAGAACTGGAGTCCCAGTCAACTGCGCCTAACGGCCAGTTCTAGCCTCCAAAATAAAAGAGGGGGGGTGGTGGTGGGAGGGAGAGGGAACAGGAGGGGGTGCGGGGAGACTCGCAGCAGAGAAAAGACGTAAGGGTGGAGAGGGACTTTCAAAATGCCCCAGTAACTGCAACCCGATGAGAGGAAAACAAGAAAATCTATTTTTTAAAAAAGCTTCGGGCCGGGCTCTCGGCTCGGGGAGGGACAGCGCAAGGGGAGCCTTCGGGCCGGGCTCCGGGCTCGCGGAGCCGGAGAGCCAGCAGGTCGGGGCCAAGCCCCGCAGTCCCCGCGCCACCAGGCCGCGCGCCCCGCCCGGGGCCCCTCTCCGGGCAGCCCGGCTCCGAGGCGCGGGCGGATCCCCGCGCACCCCCGCGCTCCCGAGCCCCGCCAAAAACGAAAGAGCCGCTCGCCCGCGGGCTCTTTCGGTTCCCGCCCGCGGCCGGCGCTGGGGAAAGCCCCGGCCGGCGGGCTGGGCGCGGCGCCCGGACCACACACGTGTGCGCGGCGCGCGGGCCCGGCCCGGCCCGGCCGGGGCCTGGGCTCCCGCCGCCGCGCTCGGCCTCCCCGGGCCCCGCGGCCGCCCCCACGTGGGCCCCCGCCGCCCGCCCGGCCGGCCGGCCGCGACCCGCAGGCGCGTACCTGGTGCTGCTGCCGCCCCTGCTGGTAGGGCTTGGCCGGCCCGGGTGGCACCGCCGCGTCCGCATCTTGCCGCCGCCGCCCCCCCGAGCCCGCCGGCGCCCGAGGCCATGGCGGAGCCGCCGCGGCTGCCCGCTCCGGCGCGGGGAAGGCGGAGAGCCCGAGCGGCGGCCTGAGAGCCCGCCCCGCGGCCCCGGCCCGACGTCGAGCGGCGGGACCCGGCGCCGCGGCCGGGAGCACGAGCGCGCCGCGGGCTCCGGAGGCGACGCCGCCGCGGAACGGGCCGCCGGCCGCCGCCGCCGCCGTGCGTGTCACGTCTCTATGGAGATCCCCGCGGGCGCCGCGCCGCTGAGGCCTAGCCCGACCGCCGGCGCCCGGCCGCCTCCTTCCGCCGCCCCGGCCGTCGCTGCCGCAGTCGAGGCCGCCGGCGCCGCCCGCTCCCCCGCCCCTCTGCGCGCAGCGCCCGCCCCGCCGCCGTCGCCGTCCGCCCTGCAGTCGCCGCCGCTGTTGCGCCTATTGCCGCTGCTAAGGCCGCCGCGGTCGCGAGTCACAACGGCGTCACTCGCCCGCGCCCGACGCGCCGGCGTCATCGCGCGGCGACGGGAGGGGGGAGAGGAGGAGGGAAAGGGGATGGAACCCGCGCGCTCGGCCGCGGGGCACGCTGGGAAGCGTAGTTTTCGTAAGGAGGAGACGCGAAGTGGCGGAAGGGAGGACGCGGAAGGAGCCCGCGGGAGCCGCAGAGGCACAAAGCCCGCGGCGCGGCGGGGCGTGGTGTGGGCCGGGGGCTCGCGGAGGGCGAGGCGCGAAAACCGGGACCTGCTGGCCGCGCCGCTTCGCCCCGTCGTGTGGGAAAGCGGGCAGAAGCTAAAGAGACAGTGAAATGAAAGACAGGCTAATAATCTTTATATATATAAAATATATAGCTTTATAATCTTTATATATAGCTAGTAATATAGCTAATATTTATCTAATCTTTATATATAATATTTATATATGTGATCTTTTATATATAGTATTTATATATGTGATTTTTATATTTATATATAATATATTATATATTTTATACATATTTATATATATAATATATGAAATATTTTATTATATATATTTTATATATAATATATGAAATAGATTTTATTATATATTTATAATATATGAAATAGATTTTATTATATATTTCATATATATATATGAAATAGATTTTATTATATATTTCATATATTATATATTTCATACATATTTATATATTATATATGAAATATAGTATATTTCATATAAATATAATATAAATAAATAAATATATTAATATATTTATAATATAATATATATTATATAAAATATATATTATATAACATAATATATATGTACATATTATATATTATATTATATATACTTGTATATAAATATATGAAAGACTATATATAAAGATTTTGTGCATGACATCAGACAATATATAATATGTAATATATACTTATATATTATGTATAATCTTTGTATATATACAAGTATATATATATATACACACACATATATATTTTAAAGCTTGGTTCAAAAAGCGACGCCCATCATCTTTAAGCCTAAAGTGGAATTAAATTATATATGTGTGTGTTTATATGCACACACACACACATAGAGCTCCATTAATGTTCCATTAAATAGAGGGCTCTGCTATCCCACACACAAGGGCTGGATTTCCAGGACACTGAGCTGGGCAAAGCCAGGGCTTTCACCCTGCTTTCCTAGGAGTCAAGGCAAGTAACCAAATGACCAGGGAGGAAACTCTCTCTTTGTGAAAAAACAAAGGCTTAATGTTCTATTTAAGACAATTGATTTTGATTCCGCCATTCTCTAGCTTGACCTTGGAGAAATCAAAGCTTCTGAGGCTTTACTCCCTCCTCCATAAAATGGGAACTTAAAATCCACCTTATGGTTGTGATATCTATAGAGAGCACTTAACATATTTCCCGGTATAGGAGAAATGCAATAAAGGGTTATTCCCCACGCAGTTTGCTCACTAAGGGTAAGTGGCCTATTACCGGTAATGAGTATATGTATATTTGTTCCAAATAGAAGGCATTATATTTAGAAAAGTGATTGAGCCACAAAGGCTGAGTCCATAAAGTCTAGAGATAGTAGGAGTTGACTGGTAGGAAGGCCTTCTTGCTCCCGTGGCCCTGCCCTTCAACCCTAAGACAGAGGTCCAGAGCTTTCAGGGGGCACTGATTTCCAGGACACTGAGCTGGGCAAAACCAGGGCTTTCACCCTGCTTTTCTGTGAGTTGAGGCAAGTAACCAAATGACTAGGGAGGAAAATTGTGAAAAAACAAAGGCTTAATGTTCTATTTAAGACAATTGATTGTAAAGCTTATAAGTAACTTTGCAGTCAGACAACTTCAAATCTGTCACTTACTAGCTGTGTTGCCTTGGGGAAGTAACTGATCCTCTTTCTAAGCTTCAGTTTCCTCATCTGCAAATAGAATGAATATTAACCTCAACAGGATGGTGGTTCACAGGAAAGGATTAATGTGTGTGTGTGTGTGTGTGTGTGTGTGTGTGTACCTCATTATAACTTCTTAGAAAGCATCTGTGTGTCTGCTAGATTTAAGCATCTGTGTGTCAGCCACCACAATGGTGGCTGAACCATAGGCATAGGCATTATGCATGCCTATACAAAGGTCAGAACTGTCCAATCACAGTCATAGGAGCCAAACCTTACAAGGCGACTTTCATATTAATCAAGAGCAGAAAGCTTGATCACTCTGGGAAGGGTATGCATCAAGAGGTATGACTGGAAGGCCCCGGGGGCTGAGGACGGATGCATAAACTTACTCCCAACTCATACATCATGAGGTATGACCGGGAACGGTCGGGGGGCCAAGGACTGAAGTATGACAAGGGACCCCAGAAGCTGATCAGTGGAATGCCTTGTTGATAAGATTAGGACCGTGGCCAGGGGTCTGGGGTCTAGTTTCGATAACAACACTTGGTCATCAGCTGATAACATGGTCAGCAGACTCATGTCCCCCTCAAGACCTAGATAACATTCCTGAGTTTCATCTATCCTTTTCTCCTTGTCCTCCTAACGCATGTAGCTGATGCTCTATGATTATTCTATCAATATAAATGGCTGGGATCTAGCTCTCAGAAGCATCCTGCCTTGTGCAGCCTGCTCCACGACTGCCGTGTCTTTGTCAGTGTGGTGTTGCCCTACGCAACAAGTATCTAATATCATCCAGCTATAAGGTACAAATAATTAACTCCAAATTGCACACATCAAATCACTATGTAGGAGAGATGAATTTTAAACCCTGGAGCTAGGTTCTGCCTTTCCTGGGTCACTACTGTGTGTGGACCTGGGTGAAGCCACCTTCACCACGTTTGACCAGGAGGCAAACCTGGAGGCAAATGAGGACTTGGAGGGATAAAAAAAGGAAAATACAAAAACTCGAAGTTACTGGACAGGATAGCAGTGAGATTCACTTCAAAGTGAAAATAATGACTCAAGAAACTCAAGAATCAAAGGTCGAAGGCAAGGAATTCCAATGAATTCACTCAGACTTCTCAGGTCAGAGAATAGCTGATAACAATACTCCAAATGAACTATGAATGGAGGAAGAAGACGTGGTTGATGTTTAACAGGAACAAACATGCTCATTCAATGGTTTAGATTTCTTTTTGCTTTTCCCTTAATCCTTTTTTATTTTGAAAAATAACTTTTGTAACGTGGTATTCAAAATAATTGAAAACTGGCTCCCCATCTCTTTGAAAAATCTGGTAATTGGAATTACTAGTGTCTAATCTTCATTGTGCAGATGTTTGTTGGTCACGCCCCAGCTGCCTTTATATTGCCTTCTCCTTTTTAAAAAATTACTTTTGTGCACAGAGAGGCCACCTTTTCAGGGCTGTGCATGTTGATGATAAATAAGTCCAACCAATGCCAGTGTTCTTTGACTTGGCAGCTGACCATGAAAATCTAGTGTGTGATTGCTTCGTTCCCGGATTATGACTTTCAGTGCAAGATGGAAGTTTTCAGAGAGCTGAACTGTGGGGAAATGATCATCCCTTACCTTGAAACCACTTTTACAACCTGAGGGTCTAGACCGAAAAAGAGAATTAGGAGGTTGCAGATGAAATAATAATAGAAGACTAAATTCCAAAGAGAAAATTCTTTAAGATTAAAGAAAAATCTTGTCAGAAGCTCTAATGTTCATTTGTCATACAGTTTAGTTACTCATGCAGAAGTGTATACAAATAGAACACTGCTCATTTTTATGTCATTTATACATTTTAGGCCTGGGATATGGGTTTTAAATGGAAATTGTACCAACTTCATTAAGATAAACAAAATATTTGTTAAAAATGTTTAAGTTATTCTCTTAATCATATAAATCAAATTGTGAAACCAAATTTATATAGTACCTTGGCATGTATATTAGTTTCAGCACCTAAAGAGCAAAGGGCTTTTGGTAGCACTAATGAACATAGGCCATCAAAATTAATAAAGGTTACCAAATACAATAGATTGAAATTGGGGCCTCCCTCATGGCACAGGGATTAAAGACGGCCCTACCAAGCTATCGCCAGCCACTGCGGCACGAGTTTGATCCCTGCCTGGCCAGGGAGCTACCCACATGGCACAGCAGACCACTCCTGTCTTGCCTGCTGCTGCCCTCAACAGTGAACTTCAGTAAATCTGCCTGTTTTGTTCCCCAACTCTGTGTCTGGTGAATCCTTTTATCCCACCCCCACCCCCACACCTCTGGCATGTATACCAGTTCTTGTATCATAAAGAAATCTTTAAAAAAAGAAGGGGGACCTCCCTGGTGGCACAAGAGGTTAAGATGCAACCTATGAAGCTATCTGCAGCCAGATAGCCGATCCTCAGCCAGGGAGCTACCCACATGGCACAGCAGACCTCTCCTGACTCACCCGCTGCTCCCCACAGCAATGTATTTCAATTAAATTTGCCTGTTCAATTCCCGACTCTGTCGATGGTGAATCCTCTCACCACCACCACCCCTGCACCTCTGGCCTGTACCCCAGCTCTTTTATGCACAAATAAATGACTCTCTAAAAAGAACTTGTCCCTTTCTTGAGAGTGTTACTTGATATGTGGGGCAGCCTTCACATCCAAGCTTTGAAAACAAAAGACTGAATAAGAAAACACTCCAAAAGAGATTTTGGGCTGAACATAAGACAGACGTTCAGCATCGAACCTCACTAGGATTTGAGGAAATAAGCGGCGAATCTATTCCTCAATTCCCCTTGTGCCTTGCTCTCAATGACTTGCCCCCATTTAGTTCTACTTGCATGGTAACACAATATCTAAAAGCAAACAATAATACGTTAGTTCACATAAATGTGATTGAGTGTTGTATTAGAGTTTTAACAGGTTTGACAGCAGAGTGCAGAGAAGAATAAGAGACAAGAAGGAACCTGCATTCAAACTTCCCACTGAATAATTTTACCCTGTAATGTTATCAGGGATGAAGTAACTTCTTGTGCATAGTTGGGGATTCTAAAATAACATTGTTTCTGTGCTGAAATTCAGGATAGAGTTACAGTTCACCTAATCTAGAGTTTCTCAGAGTTTTGATAAAAACTCATTTTTCAGCTAGGAATTTATAGTAGAATAGATTATAATAGCATATTCTGATTATAAAACTTAAAAGTATATTTAAACATAGAAATAATTGTTGAAGGGCCTCCCTGGTGGTGCAAGGGGTTGAGCACTGCACTATGGGGAAATCCACAGCCTCTGCAGCGCGAGTTTGATCCCCCGGCCGGCGGGGATGGCACAGCAGACCTCTCCTATCTCACCTACTGTTCCCCTCAGCAGTGTATTTCAGTCAGTCTGCCTGTTCTGTTCCCCGCTCTGGCTCTGGTGGATCCTCTTACCCCCCCGCATCTCTGGCCTGTGTCCCAGCTCTTGTGTGCATAAATAAACAAATCTTTAGAAATAAAAGAATTAAAAAAAAAAGAAAGAATTATTGAACATTTCTCTAAGAGATACATAAATTTCTCTAAGAGATACTATCTATAAACTAGAAAAAATATCCTATGGCATGGATTAACAGTTGAGATTCGGGAAGCCCTACTAGCCATACTAGGAGTTAATAACTATTCATTCCCTTCTCAAAAACCTGTTATTTCATACTTACAATTAAGCAATTTCTATCAATGATAAAAACCTCCTGAGATTCTGTTCACACAAAATTGAAAGCTATCATGTGTAAATTTCATCTGGATTATCTTCTTTATCTGTTTTATTACTAATTTCTATTCCCATCTGCCTTGAGGCCTAAACAACATTGAAGTAACTCTGAAAAAGTGAATCCTATGTTTGGAGATGTTTCATTGAGTTTATTTTAAAAGAAACTCATTTCTTCCCTTCTATATTTATTTTTTATTTATTCATATACACAAGAACTGGGGTACAGGCAGATGAGAATAGAAAGATTTTTTTAAAAAAGATTTATCTATTTTTTTAAGATTTATTTATTCATTTACACAAGAACCGGGGTACAGGCCAGATGCGCGGGAGGGTGAGGGGATTCACCAGAGACAGAGTGGGGAACAGCAGGCAGATCTACTGAAATACACTGCTGAGGGGAGTGGCAGGCGAGACAGGAGAGGTCTGCCGCGCTATGTGGGTTGCTCCCCAGCTGGCCGGGGTCAAACCTGCTCTGCAGAGGCTGCAGACAGTTTCACAGCACTGTGCCCAACCGCCTGCACCACCAGAGAGGACCTCTAATATATTTTAAACTCCAAAAAGAGGATTTTTTTTTTCTTACTGCTTTATCCTGAACATGTAGGACAGATAACACACAGCACTCACTCTGTATAAACTACAGTTCATTTACCCAATATCCAATTACCACCTCTATCAACAGTTTCCATTTTATTATAATAAATTATACAAAGATGAATACAGCTAAACTGCTTTATATAACCATTTGTGACTTGTAATATTCATCTTCTATACTATGTAATAAATTAATAATTCTCAAATTTATTAACGTATTCATAACATTCATAAGCAAATATTTATGATAATGTTATATAGAGATTCTCATGTAATCCCAACAATTCTGAAAGGAATTACTATCCTCATTTTACAGACAAGGAAACTGAGGCAATGAGTGGATAAAAACAACTTATTCATTTAGGGCCTTCCTGGTGGCACAAGGGGTTAAGCACAGCACTGTGAAGCTCTGCAGCCCGTGTGCTCGATCCCTGGCCAGGGAGCTACTCACATGGTGCAGCAGACCTCTCCTGTCTCGCCCACTGCGCCCCTCAGCAGTGGATTGCAGTCAGTCTGCCTGCCCTGCTCCCCACTCTGTCTCTGGTGAATCCTCTCACACACACCCCACACCGCTGGCCTATACCCCTGTTTTTGTATACATAAATAAATAAAATCTTAATAAATAAATAAAAATAAAACAACCTATTTATATTCAAAACAAT